TGCTTCCGCTATCACTGAAGCATAGGTAGGAGACACGACCTAAAGAGCATACATTTTTTTGATCAAACCACAAGTTTATATTTCAATTACCTATTGAGCCCATGCGGTGAAGGGGTCAGAGGTAGGTATGTCTGTCGTATGAGCCAACTAAAATCCCGGCGTTATACCGACACTGTTTTGGAGTGTGACACGGTACTTGCTGTACCCAACCGGTGATATATATTTGATACTATGGCGGTCAGGTGCCCACAATTTGACTGTCTTGGCCAAGTGATGGTTGGCAGAGTCATGGTGGTTGTGATTAATACCCAAACTTACGCAGGAAGAATGATCGGTATTTATCATTTATTCGGCGTGGAGTTGCGTATTCATCACCGGGTGCTGTGACTCAAAGATCAGCAAAAGTAGGATGAGTCTCGCTCCTTACTAATGGGTAAGTTATCTCCAAACACACAAATTTTAATTGGAACCGGTGGAAATTCATCAGAATTTCCAATGGGGCGTGTATCGGTGCATTATGTGTAAGCCTTAATGGCAGGTACCCACGCTAAACAACACTGTTACTGAGCCCATAGTTGTTGTTGTTTGTTATCTTAATTCTAAATATATGGAATACCGAAATAAGTTATAGTACAGAGGTATGTGTAAAATTACATTAAATAATAGTTATATACATATGTAGAGGTATATATTTAATATACTTCTATATATCACAATATTCTGGGTAATGAATGAATTTTTGTTGAATTATTGTTCATTATTTATTGACGGAAAATATTATTTTTGTACACTTATAAATCAGCTTAATTATTGCTGATTGCAGTTGAAATAAAACATGTGTTAAAGATTGAATGATAAAATTTGCATATTGCGGAAAAAAAAAATAAAAAAAAATCGCATGATATACTTTGACAATTTACCATAAATAATGGCATTTAAGCAATCCGCAAAAGGCAACTGTAAAAAACGAAAAACTTTGGTTGCAACAAGTCACGCTATTTACACGCCAATGGCATGACAATTCCTTGATTTATAAAGTTTTCAAAATAAAAGGAAATTACAATATTTTTTTATTTATTTTTCTTTTTAAATTTTTGAACTTTTTGTTTTATTTACTATTTAGTAAATAATTTTTAGAAAAAGAAATGTGAAAATTATATTCTTCATTGCAGTTAAGCTAATGAATGAGCCCATAAATATGCAATGGAATCGTACATGTAGGAATTAAGGTTGACGACATGATGTATCGCTTGCCGTTAAGTACACGTATTTGAGCCAATTTCATGTTGCATGCAACAAAACGAAAACAGACCAAACACATATGAAAAATGCTCAAATTAACTTGAAACAAGTTAAACTATAAAAGCAAATTTATCATTGTATTTTATATCCATGCTTGCTTACCTACGAGACTTACTTCAATATGTAAGCATACACTTGGCAGCTAATATCCTTTGAAGAGTTCATATCTGTAGTTGATTGTATGTCCTGTGTAACAGGTTGTCAAATACGTGTATGTGTATGAGAAGGCATACTTTAACGAGTTCATAGACGAACGGAAATAAATGCAACAATTTCAAATTGGCATTAGAGACTTGTTTAGGTAGCTAAGAGCGCTGATAGTGGAGTATTGATTTCAGAACGGATATAAGGACACTTCACTGAAAATTATTTTAAGAAATTAAGTAGTTTAGAAACTTTATAAAAAAATCAGCTTTTTTTTATTGTTATCTATTAATAGACATATTTTTTAGTTGATAATTTTAGAGTAGATATGTGTCATATAATTATTACTATACTTCGTACAAATAGCTCATTAATTCCTTGATTTAAAATCAGCATAGATACATATGTTTTTACTTTATTGTAATTCATTATACATCAGTCTTCTGACTCTATTTTAAGATGTTCTTCTTTAGTAAATTTCATCTATCAATGAAAAATTTCATCTATCTTAACGCCATCATAAGGATGGATGTCAGCAGAAGGTATGTAAAGCCCTCTCTTGACCTATGTTCTATAGGTCGCTCAACATACCTGTATTTCTATAAGGTGCTGAAGCAGGAGCGCTATCAGTGAATGATGAAGTTGCAGTGGAAGTTTTCAAGAGATAAATTTTTCATGAAATTCTTTGTCTTAGTACTAACTTTTAATCTTAAGAGTTGACCACTAGTATCGTATCCGAATGAATCACAAGTTGTATGAGCTTAGTAGAGATGTAGAGCTTTCTTTCTCGACGAAGCACGAATGGTATCACGGAATGATGAAGCAGTACTGGGACTTTTCGAAAGAAAATTTTTCGAAAGATTTTTCGTCTTCTACGAATTGGCGACGATTACAGCACTCATATGTACTACGAAGCTCTATCATGAGATTGATTTAATTCAACGGATGACTCTGCTCCAACCAAAAAGTAATTGAGCACCAGTTGGAAGAAAAAGACATAAAGGTAAATCATGTTGAGTTAAGGGTGTAAATACAGTGGAAGTGCTTGGAGAGGTGAAGTATTTTCTTTTCCGCTTGCAGAAACTACTTTACTTGGAACGAAATAATCTGTGTCATATTGAGGACTAGTCTGACACAACTAAGAACTGAATTTAGAAATTAACGAGTTGATTTTTGATTTATTATGTTATATATATTTTTGATAAGTACAGCTAATATGCTTGATAAGACGTTATTAGTAAGCTATTCTAAAGATACACTTTTAAGTGCCCATTTTTGTATTCATAATATAATTGAAAATGTTATAAATTCGTCACAAGTAAACTTTAAAAACTCAAAAAAAAATCGTAAAAGTGTTCTTTAGCAGCACTAAAAGTAGATACTAGGATTAAGAGTTTCTGTAGAATAGTTAGGTATATAAGTTTGAAAAGTTGATTTTAGATAGTGTATGGAAAGTTTATATATTTAGTTTTGTTAAGCTTAATTGATTCAAGTTTTCCATTTTTTTTCTTAATTTAATTGTTCATTTGTAAACAGACAGGTGTAGCACAAAACAAAATTGCTATGGAATGTTATATAAAAATATATATCTTACTAAACTAATTTAATATCCTTATGTAACAATTCTAAAAGTGTTCAGGTCTTAACCTATTTACCGAAAATGTAGCTACTTAAAACAATTGTATGAAATTATTGACGTGAGCGTGAGCAACAACCAGGCATAGACAGAGATGACTTACTCGAAAAATGTGTCCTCTATATAGTTATATATGAAACGTTTTAAATTGTATGTACTTATACAAACTGAGATAATATTTGCATAAATAATGATAGTTTACATGCCTTTAGTAGTGTTTTTTAAAATTTAGTTGCAAAAAGTGCAAAAAATTGTTGGCATTTTGTGTAGACAAGCAAAATTGATTGTGTGATTTTAGGCGTCAAACAAAAACTGTTAACGAATAATAGAATATTTTAGCTATCTATGAAATCGCATATTTATGTAAATATACATAAAATATAAAAACAATCATTGACATTAAAGAATTTAAACTTTTGACAGCTTAAATTGTTTCAAATTTCTTCTGAAAGTTTGTTACAGTGGTTGGTGTGGCATACTTGGTTTATATCGGGCTCATGGCACACGGCCCATGGCATATCACATACCAGCTGCTATTAAATAAAAATTAATATTTAATGAATTTCCTGCCTTGTAGCAGAGGAAAAAGCTTTATTCGGCTTGTTTTCATTGTTATTTTAATATATTCAATCAATAATTCCCAGGTTATTTAAGCATCTTCATTCTTATAAATTTCAAACCAAATTTGTTATAATTTCCACATGCTTCGCTTCATTCTGTACCATTTTAATTTCATGCTCAATGGCACAAGATTTTTCAGGCACGAATTTTCAGATCCTCCGGTTGGTAGGTGGCGAAAACAAATAAATTCCATAAATGTTAACAAGGCACGAATACAATTTCGGAGCAATACGGAATGCGCAATATAAGACAAAATGAAATCACATAAAAATGCCGAATTAGTGGCAGCAAACTTAAATGTTTAATTGCCGAATATGTGAACGGGGAAATGTAGGTTCCTTGCAATATTGGATGTCGGTGTGTGGCAACTTGTTGCCCATATTTTATGGTGAAATAATTTCTATCCTTAAACCCACTGTATTGTTTTATGTTTCTGGTTTAACAAACACCCGAGAATTCATAATTACTTTGCAATTTACTTGGTTATTTATTATTAAAGCACAGCTTGCAAATTTCCGAAATGAAATAACTTAAGAAAAACTTTTCTTTTCCCTTGAATTGCCTTTTTGTTCCTTAACAATAAACTTTTGTTACTACCCTTCACACTTGGTTAAATATTGAAAGCGAATTCTGAAACGCGTTTCATTCTCCTTTTTTTCTGTAATCAAAATTTTTTTTAATTTCTTTTAAAAAATTGGAGGAAAATTAATTTTATGATTCAAATATTGATAATTAATATAATAAAATAAATAATTAAAATTGAGTTAATTTTATCATTTAATAATTCAATAAATAAATTATAGTTTAAATTATTATAAGACCAGGTTTTATTTAAAAAAAACTAGCAAAAATTATTAAAAAAAATATACAATGGTCTATTCACTTAGACTTGGTAATCGAATGCTGTGCTGACATACATGGAAAAGGAGTAGAGTGTCTACTCAAGGCTAGATTTAGCGCAACTCAATGTCAGCTAGCTAAAGTTCTTCCTCTTCAAGATCGATGTGCGTGGACACAATTTTTTCTTAAGATTCCCTTGATTTTCACAAAATACAGCGTATTTAAATCAGAGAAGTTCAAAAGAAATTAAAGAAGGTTGAGAAGAAGTTTATTCCTATTCAAAACCACTATGTGTAGTGAAGAGACACATTATTTTCTAGGTACAATAGGCTTTTATTAAACACAGCGCATTTAGGTCAGAACCTGACCTAGGAATATTTGCGGTTCTCCAGTCTTGAAGAGTTCAGTTTCAGTAACACATTGTACAATAGTGTTTTGTTCTATAAACTCAATTTAGGGTTTGGTGGAAATTCAAACAGATGATAAAGTTAGTACTGCATACACTGCTACAATCGCTTTATCACGTATAATTGTTTTTTAGAAAAAAAAATAAAATATATATAACGTTAATTTTTTTTTGCCGAAATGATATTGATATCGATTTTCTTTTAAATCAAGGTTAGGTTCGATTCAGAAGGTGCATGCTGATAGTTGTCAGCACTTTCACTCGAAGGCATATGTTGCCCACTGTGATGCCATGAAAAATTATGCCTGAAGAGGTAGGTTGCTAACCTTTGTTGTCCTTGTTAAATCATTTGGTTTTCCAGATAAAATTGAGGGGATCCGATAAGTTTGCTTTTTATCTCTTCCAAGCCAGTGAAAAATCGATCCCCAAGTCATTGCGATCGACTTGTCTGCCTTCTCTGCATCTTGGCAACTTCAGCATAATCCACTTGTTGGAACTCGCCACCGTTGGAGGACAGTCTTTTAAACCAAAGAAAAAGTATTTTATCAAGAAATATAAATAATCTTCAAAAAATACTAGGACTTTTTCAAAATGTACATATTAAGTCAAGAGTACAAGTACTTTTCAAAAAATAAAGTACACTTTAGAGAGTTCAAGTACTCTTTAAAATGTACAAGTATGCTTCAGAGAGTAAAAGTACTCTTCAAAGTGTACAAGTACTCTTCAGAGAAAACAAATACTCTTCAAAGAATACAAGTGATCTTCAAAGAATACAAGTACTGTTCAAAGAATACAAATACTCTTCAAGGATTAAGTGTAATGTTCAAAGAATACAAGTGATCTTCAAAGTGTACAAATACTCTTCAAAGAGTACGAGTACTCTTCAAGGAACAAAAGTGATCTTCAAAGAATTCAAGTATTCTTCTTTGTCTCGAGTAATACTTTATTGTCTCTCAATTAAACTAATTTTAATAATTAGGCTTTAAAAATCTGCAGGACATATTTTCTTTTTTTTTAAATGTTGATACCAACTATTTGACATGGATATAGTACTTTAACATTTTAACAACTTAACATGAGTTTAGCATGCTTAACTTAGATTGTTAGGGATCAAATGCCATTTAAATCAAATTTGGATGAATTCAAATTAATTATTTCTTAGTTCAAGTGGCATATTACGATCTTGATTATATGTAATTTGCAGATTAATTTAATTTAACCTTAAAAGTCTTTTAATCCAAAATATATATTCACATAAGCTACGAAAAAATTATCTAATGCTGTAGTTGTCATGTAATTTGCATTCAATCTGCTGCACACTTCTGAATATTGGATTTATGCTAATATAAATTTTCAGCATTTCCCGATTTTCAATTTCAATTTCAACTTCAATTTTAAACAATTTTCAAGGAGAATAAATTTCATTTCGAATTTTACTTACGAGAAAACTTCGCTCCAATGAGCGTAATTCAAGCGTTAACGTCACTTGGGTCATTGTGTCACGCTGTGCGCAACATGTTTGCTTAAACGGAAACGGATGTGACAGAAAGTGAACACACGAAACAAAAACGGAAACGATGTTGTACAAAAAAAAAAAATTAAACAAAAAAAAACTAAAAAAGAACTGCATTTTAACAGTTTAACTGTAAATCAAAAATGGAAAAATAATAAAAAAATAATAAAAAAATTGTAATAAAATCTTTATTTTTTTTCAAAAGGTACAATTACCTTCTGAAGAAAATGGAAAAGCTATAAATGTTAAAAGAGAAATAACGATAATTAAATAAATTAAAATAAAATCTTTTTATGGACTACAAAGGAATAGAGTAAAGAAAGGGGCGAGAGAATATTAATAATTAAGTAATTGTTTTTCAATTATTAGAGAAAAATATAAACTCTTAATGGAAGAGTTGTCAAGCTAAACTCACTTGGATACTGGCATAAATTCTTAAAAGTGGTTCAAAATAAATTTATTATGTATATTCATACAATCTGGCAACCAATCAATTTTCACTTAACGAATAAAAGGGAAAGAAAGCTTTATTTAATTATTAAAATGAAGATATCACAAGATATTTTAACAATTTTAAGTTATGTGAATTTATTATTTTTAAGAAGCGATTATCATTTTCTATTGAAAAATATTTGTTGTGTTTAATAATTTAGAAGATTTTCAAAAAGCATTTTGAAAGCAATAATAAAATCTCTATAAAGACAAATAATTCATTTTTGAACGATAAAATTTGTAAATAAATTATTTATTAAAATAGGAAAAGTGACAACGCTTGAGTGAACTCTTTATAAAGATTGAATGATTCTATCTCACTGAATATTTTATAATTTTTCTATAAATTTTAAAGGTTTAAAATAATGTAATCTAAAATTAATGATAATCCTTATGGCTATTTCTTACACAAACTATGTTAATATAATTGGTTTGTAGCTTTCGCATTCTATTCCACCTGGATTGCAAGATTTGGCGTTCCATTACGTGTAACCACAGATCAGGGACGACAATTTGAATGCTATTTGTTTAAAGAGCTGTCTAAGCTTCTTGGTATTCAGCACTTACGTACCACAGCTTATCACCCTGCTTTTTATGGAATTATTGAAAGATTTCACAGGTCTTTGAAAGCAGCCATTAAGTGTTATCAAAATGACAACTGGGTTGAAATATTACCTCTCATCCTTCTAGGATTTAGAGTTGTAGTGAAAGAAGATATTAACGCATGTCCTTCACAACTGGTTTATGGCGTTGGCTTACGTTTACCCGGGGAATTCATTTCAGAAGTTAATCGCGACGTCTCAAACCCTCAGGCAGAATTTGTAGCTAAACTAAAAAGATTTATGAACGACTTAAGACCTACTCAAACTGCTCATCATTCTAGTGGAAAGGTTTTTATTGAAAAAGATCTTTATTCCTCGGATCAGGTTTTCGTCAGAAATTCCATGATTTGTAAACCATTGCAGGCTCCATACGAAGGTCCATTCACTGTTCTTAAGCGTTTCGATAAATATTTTGTCGTGGATGTTAAGGGAAGGAAAGTGAATATCTCGGTGGATCGCCTCAAAGCAGCCTTCAGTGAACAATATTTTAAGGAACAAGAAGTTAAGCCTTTAGTCACTGACAAGAACGATCATAAGACATACACTTCGCGTTATGGTCGCAAGTTGTTTTTTCGGAAGGGGGAATAATGTAGCTGTTCATATTCTAAATAATCACAGTAAACTGGATTATTATTTAAGTATATTGACAACATTAAAACTTGTAAAATAAAAGAAAAAGAAAATTATATTCGAAGAAGAAGTTTCGGTTTTCTGATAAAGAAAATAAGTACACACAATAAATAATTTTGAAATTTAAATATAGCCTCTGTATTTCAATTACGTTCGCGTACAGAAACCCGCTATAGGTTAAAATAATTTCTTTGAAGTAGTCATAAACTTTTCTTTAGAATTTTCAAACTAGAATTTGATTTTCTTGTAATGTTTTGATAGACAAAGGCTTCATTACTTAGTTAGCATTACTATGGTTTCATATAAATTTTGTTCATATCTGTAACCAAAACATACAGGATTCAAATTCCATACTCTCCATAGTATGGAATATAGAAATAATAATATATTTTTTAATTATGTGTAGTTTAATTTGTAATTTATTTCTATTCATTTCCTCATAATGGTAATAAACCTCAATCTGTATTAAAATGTATCTGTCTATATAGCTTCAATGTATTTATACAGGGTTAAACCTTAAAATTATGCAAAAGGATTGTAGTTTCTGGTCCTGAAGTGGTATTTTAAGACTCCATTAATAATAATAACAACATATCTTTTATTTATTTGAAGATCATGCTAATATTGTTATGTTGAAGCTATTTAAGCCAGTGCACTTGAGCACTTTTACTCTTTCTTAACTCGGGGTATTTTCAAAACCTCTCTTTACGCCTTGACTGCCAGGCGACTGTTTATCACTTCATCAGACTAAGCAATACTTGACCTCAGATCTGCATACCTCCCCGAGGAGCCTATAACAATTCTGAGATTCGATAACGCTGTGTTGGTAAGCCTGTTAGTTTTCGTAAATAGTTTCAGGGCTCTGTCCTTCATGTATTTTTTGATCACCTTGAAAAGTCTTCTCAGTTCAGAAATATTTTGATGATTGGAATTGAATAAATAACAAATAAATAATCGATATCAAATGCAATGAATTTACTTATTTCAGTTTTTCATTGTTAATAGAAAAGTAATTATAAGACTAAACGATTCCTGATCTAAAAAGATGCAGTCATTCTTATCAAAATTCTGTTAAGTTTTTAAAGAGTTTAAAAGAGTTTAAAATCTTTTCAATTCTCTTCATAATTTTAAATGAACTTGAAGCTATAACACCCATCACTTGGTTAGAATAAGTGTTATTTTTAAGTGCTCCACTGTGCAAATTATAATTATGTTTCATTATTTAGTTTAATTGCATCAATTTCACAAATGAACATTTACTCAAATATTATTTGCTTGAAAATGGTTTTAATAACGTTGGCATTTAACACAATTCCCAATTGATTTTTCCATGTGAAAGTAACATTTTGAGTTCTAGAAGCAAGAAATGACCTTTAAAAAAAAATTTAATATTAAAATTTCTTTGACCGTCAAAATGTCAATATTGTGCAAACAGAATATATTATTAAATATTTAATATACCATTAGATTTTTTAAAAACTGAGAGTTGAAAAAACAGTGCACACTCAGTTGTTCAGTTATTTCGCCGAACACTATCCACTCGTCATTAATCGAACTACAAAGAGGATTTAGTTGACATTAGTTTTTGGAATAAAAATGAAATTATATTGATACTAACATATTCCATGAAAATTGATGAAACAACAAATTTTGGTTTAATTTTTAATTTTTTTGCACCAATTGTATGGAAAATTCATAAATAAGGGTTCAGTTTGCAGAAATCATTCAGAAAGAATGATTGAAGGAGAGTGAGAATGATCAGAAAAAAATCATTTTTCATAATGAATATATTCAAACTACTTCAAACCACATCAATAATAACAGTGAAGAAAGTACAAATTCTTGTAGAAACCAAACCATTTATTAGATGTGGGTGATCTATCCTTCCTTCCTTTTTTGAGATGCCCCAAAGCAGATATGACACAGTTTCATCGTTAACTCCACAACTGCGACAGGAATGAGGAAACAAGCGACTCAATTTTCTAAAATGGTTATCTAATCGTCTGTTACTCATCAACAAACCCAGCAAAAAGCTGATATTTTTACAAGGCATCTCAATGAGGGTGTGGAATTAATAGACTAAATTATTTTTAATATATCTTTATAGAATGGGAAAGTTTTATATAGATAACTGCTTGTCGTTGAGTCTTCTCCACTTTTAATAAATTGGACAGCACAAAAAGAATTGACCAGCACAAGCTGGTCAGCGCCTGACCAGCTTGTCTGCCGTGCAGATCTCGAAAAACAAGACTATAACCGGAAATCCAGAGTAGACAAATGTTAAACTGCGTCGACAACTGATTTAGTATAGATGTCAAAAACTTTGTACGACGTAATTAGACTGAGCTTAAAAACTTTAAAGCAATTTAAGTAATTGGTAATATATATTCCATTAAATGAATTATTCACTTCCAGGCAAGCTTCAACTTCCAAGCTCCAATCGCCTCCGTCTGAAAATGACTGCAGTGATTAGGAAGGCTATAATAAGTAGATTTATTCAGTTCATTAAGAAAACTTTACAGCCTATACCACACTTATTTTAGAGCTATAAGTGTAAATGATCAGAACCCTTGATTGCGACGTGTTTTGAAATGGAAACTCAACATCAAATTTTCTATCGAAATGGAGAATAGGAAAGATGTAATCAATGCTTTTT